CTAATTGGATACAAATTGTGGGATATTTTAGGTAGGACCTTATATAACATAGTTTTGATAGATATAAGCTTGATTGTACAGTCAGAAAGGATCATGTAGGGTGAACTGGTAAACAAAGTTAACCAATGATGATGGGCATTAAGCACTTTGATAGTTGGTATTGGCACAGATGGCTATGTGCAATTTAACTGCCCTTAACCACTAGGGCATGCTGATTGCCACTGATTTCCTAATGAACTGGTTCCTTCAGACATCTTACCCATTCAGCAGCATCTGTAAGTTACTAGACAGTTAAAAAATACCATTACAAAATACCTTAATCCTTTTAATTGATTTAATAATATCCATTGAATTTCAATCAGTCCTGCCCTGGTTTTAACTTCATCATTGTCATCTGGGATCCCTGATGGGTAGTTGGGGTTCTCTTTTCCCCAATTTCCAGCCTCTGCCCTGATGCAATAATGGCTTAGTAATTTTGGCATGCAATATTGTGCAACAGTTAAAAATTCACAAATCGTCCCTTAAGTATGGTGGGCTGATCTGAGTTGGATTTGGAACTTTTTTCCATAACCTGGATGACTAAAGTCTAAAGTATCTATCTATAAGATAATGATTTTCAAATAGATAATTTCTTCATAAAGACGCTTTAAAAATAATTTCCAAAGAAATCTTGCTTTTAAAAATAATAATAAAAACATTTGTCTTAAATCTATTCTAGAGTTATGCATGAACCATACTGTTAAATTATGTTTCTAGATAATTGAATGGACTAATGTCTGAGAATTTGACTCTTTACTAAAAATCTGATAAAACAATAAATCATTAATGATTAGCAATATTTTTATAAAGTAACTTTTATTTTACATTTTGTACTTGCAAGGGGTGATTTAATGAAAAGCCTGGAGACAAATACACAGTACTGTCCATTATTCTCATTTTCATATGACTTTTTTCGCTATTGCTTTAACTTTAATTTAGTTTTTAATTTATATTTTATCATCTTTATTAAAATAAGATGAGATTGTTTAAAAAAGAAGTGAAAATACAACTCGTGACACTGATGTACTAAAAGATATTTATTTTTCAACATACTTCCTGCTACATTTATACCAGAGTTTAACTAAGCTGCGGCATAGAAAGATTTGTCAGTACTCCTGAACCATCTTAGGACAACCTGTTTCACTTTGTTATAAGTGCTGAAATGCTGACCTCCAAGGAACTCTTTTAGGGGTCCAAACAGGTGAAAATCACTTGGATCGAGGTTCAGGCTGTAAGGGGGATATTGCAATATTTCCCAGCCAAGTTTCTGTATTGCTGTATTGTGCACGTAGTGGGGTAAACAGTATGAGCTTGTGCATCTTTCCTGAAGAAACAGGATGTGATCCAGAAAATCCTGTCTTTCCCTGTCAAAATGCTCCTTCAGCTCAGTACAGAACAGGGGCGGACTGACAACTCATGGGGCCCCCAGGCAATAGGGGATCATGGGGCCCCTGTGTCCTTGCCCAAACTCAAAAAAGCCTATGAAAAAGGTACCAGGGGCATCTCATGGGGCCCCCTACTGACCCCGGGCCCTCAGGCAGTGCCCGAGTTTCCAAATGGTTGGTCCATCCCTGGTACAGACTTCAACTCTTCTGTGTCAGTCAAAAGCAGAAAGCTGTCCTGGTTCCTAGCATGTGCTAACTTTTAAAAAAATGCAATAGTTGTGACTGATATTTTATATACTGTACCAGGGGCGGACTGAAAACTCATGGGGCCCCTGGGAAATAGGGGATCATGGGGCCCCTGTGTCCCTGCCCAAACTCAAAAAAGCCTATGAAAAAGGTACCAGGGGCATCTCATGGGGCCCCCTACTACTGACCCCGGGCCCTCTGGAAGTGCCCGAGTTTCCAAATGGTCAGTCCTCCTCTGCACACAGCTTTAGAAGGTGAATGTTGTCCCTCAGTTGCATGCAGTTTAGCTTTAGCATTTTGAAATTGTGCAAAAGAGGGGCATTCCAGTCAAACTGGGACTTTTACTTTTATAAGTATAAAAAGGATGGAAACAAACCACACCCCCTGTTTGCTTAGCTACTATAAAAATATTAAACAAACATGCTTTATTTGAATACATGTTCGCTAAGGCCAACCTGCTCTTAGATTAATTTATTCCTAATTGGTCCCTATGGAACTACAACCACTGCTCTACCTTACCACTCTAAGACTTGACACTATTTTGCTCTTTTTGATCAACAGTAATCACTGTAGCTATGGAATCCATTCCCTATCTCACAGGCACCTCTATCATTATTATTGTCATTATCACTTTAGATCACACCCCATGATGTTTAAATCTCTACTCCTTAACATAACTGCCCTTTATTCCTACTTCTCTTCTTTCCCCTCTACTCATATCTGGATTATATGTTTCTAATGTAACCAAAGAGTGATTATTTGTGTGACGTTTAATTACTTGACTGTTCATGCTGTGCAGTGTTTATCTATTTAAAATAGCAAGCGCATAAAACAATTAATATACAGTAGGTAGTAATTTCAGGTAGCTGCTGGCACTAAAGGGTATAGGCAACAGTCCCAATAAATGTATCAATGCACTTATATAATGTTTATCCATTACACTTTTGTAATGTCTTGTTTCTTTTTATTTTTGGTCTTCTCTTTATAATAAAAGAAATATTGAAACTAAAAAGGGATGCTAGCATGGCTGTACTACACACAGTACTAAGTGGCAAGTGTGTCCTATTATTGATAGGCGGCGCAAATGTCGTGGGCCACTCTAGAGATCGTTAATCAAGATGGCAGACAACAGTGTTAGTGTGCACATGGAACAGGGGGTGGTGATGAAGTTTCTTGTGAACAAAGGCTTAAACCTACAGAAGACTTCAAGCACTGTACGGTGATGAAATGCGCAGCCACAATAAGAAATTTGAAAGGTGTAAACATTTCAAAGATGGCCATACGTCCGTCAGTGATAATCCCGGCTGTAATGGTTCCCAGCCCACAGAAGTCATTCCTGTGAACATTCAGCATGTAGGACATCTGATCCTGGAAATTCATTGCATAACCTGTCATGAAATTGCACAAGAGACAAAATCTGTCTGTGAACATGAACACAATAATGACAAAGTAAAGCAGGCTGTCCTAGGTTGGTTCAGGCGTACTGACAAATCTTTCTATGCCGAAGCTTTCCAGGCATTAGTTAGACACTGGGATAAGTGTATAAACATTACAGGGGAGTATGTTGAAAAATAAATGCCTGCCTTTACACGCACATGAACTTTAATGGCATCCCAGTCTTAGTCCGTAGGGTTCAATATTGAGTTGGCCCAACCTTTGCAGCTATAACAGCTTCAACTGTTCAGGCGCTCCCTGAAAACCCACCTCTTCAGGGAAGCCTACCCCACTCTTACCTAACAGCCGTCCTCCTTCATTTCTCCAACCACTCCATCCCCCACAGCCACTTCCTCCTGTGCTATTACCCCCTCCCTCCTAGATTGTAAGCTCGAAAGAGTAGGGCCCTCTAACCCCTCATGTGCTGTTTGTTGTTGCTGTGCTGTTTCATGTATTGTCCCCCCCCCCTCTATTGTACAGAGCTGAGCAAACCCTTTGGCGCTATATAAATACGATGTAATAATAATAATAATAATAACTCTTCTAGGAAGGTTGTCCACAAGGTTTAGGAGTGTGCCTATGGGAATGTTTGACCATTCTTCTAGAAGTGCATTTGTGGGGTCAGCCACTGATGTCAGACGGGAAGGCCTGGGTCACAGTCTCCACTGTAATTCATCCAAAAAGTAGATGTTCTATTGGGTTGAGGTCAAATTCCTCCACCCCAAACTCACTCATGCATGTCTTTATGGACCTTACGTTGTGCACTGGTTAAAAGTCATGTTGGAACATCCCCAAACTGTTCCCACAAAGTTGGGAGCAAGAAATTGTCCAAAATGTCTGGGTATGCTGACGCTTTAAGAGTTCCCTTCACTGGAACTAACGGGCCAAGGCCGATCCCTGAAAACAACCCCACACCATAATGCCTCCTCACCCAAAATTTACATTCGGCACAATGAAATCGTGCAAATAACATTTTCCTGGCAACTGCCAAACCCAGACATGTTCATCGGATTGCCAGACAATGAAGTGTGATAGGTCACTCCAGAGAACACGTCTCCACTGCTCTAGAGTCCAGTGGTGGTGTGCTTTACACCACTGCATCTGACGCTTTGCATTGCAATTGGTAATTTAAGGCTTGGGTGCAGCTGCTCGGCCATGGAAACCCATTCCATGAAGCTCTCTACACACTGTTGTTGTGCTAATCTGAAGGCCACATGACGTTTGGAGGTTTTTAGCTATTGACTCTGCAGACAGGTGGCGTGCTGTGTGTTTCAGCATGCACTGAATCCGCTCTGTCATTTGTAAATGGCCTACCACTTTGTAGCTGGGTTGCTGTTGTTCCGTGGAATATTTAGTAGCAAGAAAGATTCACAGATTGCACAAGTGGAAACATATCACGGTACCACGCTTGAATCACTGAGCTCCTGAGAGCTACACATTCTTTCACAAATGTTTGTAGAAGCAGTCTGCATGCCTAGGTGCTTGATTTTATACACCTGTAGCCATGGAGGGGATTAGAACACCTGAATCCAATGATTTGGAGGGGTGTCCCAATACTTTTGGCAATATAGTGTGTGCATATTTATTTACATATGCATTATTTTATATATTTGCTCTTGAAAGGATAGTATAGAGGTGGTATGTAGTAGAGCAGCTGCTGTTGTCAAATTCGCTGCACAGTTGCTGGTTACACAAGTTAATTTAGAACTTTCTGTACCTCTGTTGCTACAGGCAAATGAGGTATCGGAGGCATCAGGGGTCTAATAGACACATGTTGTATCCTTAAGGAGGACCTGTCAATTAAAGACCTCTACCCATTCCAATTTCCCTCCAACAACACATGCACATACTGTATGAAAATACATATTTTATGCGCATACATTGCACATGTACATACACACATAGGTGGCACTGATGGGCACTGATAGGCACCGCTGATGGGCAGCACTGATGGGTGGCACTGACTGGCAGCACTGCTGGGCACTGACTGGCAGAATTGCTGGGTGGCACTGCTGGGCAGCACTGAGTGATACTGATGGGGGGCACTGGTGGGTGGCACTGCTGGGCACAGGTGGGTGGCACAACTAGGCACTGCAGTGCACAGGTGGGTTGCACTGCTGGGCACAGGTGGGTGGCACTGCTGGGCACTTGTGGGCGGCACTTCAGGGCACAGGTGGGTGGCACAGGTGGGCGGCACTGCTAGTGCCGATCCGTCCTCTGACAATTTCAGGTTATTGGCAGTACTTTCCTCATGCTGTCACAGCGTGAGGAAAGTGCAGCCGATAACCAGCAACTGCATTTACCGGTGATCTGCTGTGTCATTGGACACAGCTGATCATGTGGTAAAAGGTCGCTGTGATTGGCCTTTCATGACATCACGTGATCCATAGGACACAGCAATCGCGGAGATTTCCGGGTGTGCGCCCCCGGAGGCAAGCAGGAGGGTGCGTTCTGGGAGGACATCATATAACGCCCTTTCAGAACTGGACAACCGTGTTGTAGCCATCATTCAGCTTTAGCGTGGTTGGCAAGTGGTTAAATATAAGGGCCAAAGCTCTTTTGCATGTCACAGGAGTGAACTTAGTTCTGCACACCTGTGACCTGTTTTTAGAAAACAGTGGGCTAAAGTCCATTGCTGGCTGATGTCACTCAGGAGGTCCAGCATGCCGATGAGAGCCTAAACCAGATACCCCTGCCCCCTACACAACTTGGTGCTCCACTGACATTCACTGACTCTCTGTTCACTGAAGCCTGAGAACTGAGCGATCAGTGGTCTTTGATCTCAGATCTCAGTGTAGAGCTGGCAGGGA